ATGAAAAATAAATAATCAAGCGAAGTAAACATATCTCATCCGTGAATTCCCTCTCGGTAGAGAGCGTTCAGATTTTCGAACCTAGTGTCCATTCGGTGGTGATGCAGATCAAAAACCTTCTAGTCGTTAGAAAGGGACCAATATAAAAAGCCTTAAGAGCTAGAAGTTGTGAAAATCAAAAAAGAAAAAGGAAAATAACAATGCATCGTATCACGAATACGGGTTTTGACATGGTCTTATTAACCCCGAGGAAGTATGACGAATGAGGGTGTGGTTTTGACATGGTCTTATTAACCCCGAGGAAGTATGACGAATGAGGGTGTGGTTTTGACATGGTCTTATTAACCCCGAGGAAGTATGACGAATGAGGGTGTGGTTTTGACATGGTCTTATTAACCCCGAGGAAGTATGACGAATGAGGGTGTGGTTTTGACATGGTATTATTAACCCCGAGGAAGTATGACGAATGAGGTCGTGGTTTTGACATGGTCTTATTAACCCCGAGGAAGTATGACGAATGAGGGTGTGGTTTTGACATGGTCTTATTAACCCCGAGGAAGTATGACGAATGAGAGTGTGGTTTTGACATGGTCTTATTAACCCCGAGGAAATATGACGAATGAGGGTGTGGTTTTGACATGGTCTTATTAACCCCGAGGAAATATGACGAATGAGGGTGTGGTTTTGACATGGTCTTATTAACCCCGAGGAAATATGACGAATGAGGGTGTGGTTTTGACATGGTCTTATTAACCCCGAGGAAATATGACGAATGAGGGTGTGGTTTTGACATGGTCTTATTAACCCCGAGGAAATATGACGAATGAGGGTGTGGTTTTGACATGGTCTTATTAACCCCGAGGAAATATGACGAATGAGGGTGTGGTTTTGACATGGTCTTATTAACCCCGAGGAAATATGTCGAATGAGGGTGTGGTTTTGACATGGTCTTATTAACCCCGAGGAAATATGACGAATGAGGGTGTGGTTTTGACATGGTCTTATTAACCCCGAGGAAGTATGACGAATGAGGGTGTGGTTTTGACATGGTCTTATTAACCCCGAGGAAGTATGACGAATGAGGGTGTGGTTTTGACATGGTCTTATTAACCCCGAGGAAGTATGACGAATGAGGGTGTGGTTTTGACATGGTCTTATTAACCCCGAGGAAGTATGACGAATGAGGGTGTGGTTTTGACATGGTCTTATTAACCCCGAGGAAGTATGACGAATGAGGGTGTGGTTTTCACTCGATGATAACAATTCTACATTGAAATTCGTTTATTTCAATAGTTCAAGGGAGGTAACTGATAAAAACCCCTAACAACCTGTACCCCTAGACCACACAGCTAGACTGATACCGAGTTTTGTTTTTGCCTTATGCTATGATTACCTGTAGACGAGGAGGCGACTGTTTCACAAAGTTTGCCAGATACACCAAACGGACAGGAACATCGACATCTTTCATTAACAAATCCAGCATTTAAACATATCGGTTTGACTGAACAGTGAGCTGTAATAAGGGA